TATTGTGTTATATATATTACATCGAACATTTTATTTCCCAACACCCCATGACTTGAAATATTGTTAAGGTTTTGCATAGCCAATGCTTTTCTTCTTTTGATTTGACATGTCCGCCATTAATTACATGCTCTCAAGAAACAATAGCCCTTCCTTCTCTGAAACTGCTCTAAGGTGATTCGGGTCAGATTTGTTGTTGGCCATCAAGATCACAATGTTTAAGTCGGAATGCCCATCTATTATCATAACCGCCAACACACATTCTCTAACACATTTGCCTCTTGGTTATGTCGTACATGACAAGTGCCGCCATTGTCTCCTGCTATAGTGAGCACTCATGATAGCTAGTCGTGTCCCATATATGTGCCTTCACTATATTGGCTTCCACCTGCACCATGTAACATTCAAGTTACAACCATTCTACACGTACATCAATTTTGAATTTTCACATCTTTTTTCATAGCACACACACATGTAAGTGGGTGAAGTCCACGATTAACATAATCATGGACCCCACCTTTGTGAGTGGGTGTGAAAAATGTTGTACCCATTACTCCGTCTGTTTTATTTATATAGGCTAATTTTCTTTATTTTCGTGTCACAATTATATAGTCGGGTTTCTTTATCGAAAATATTTTATTTTATTTATTTACTAATAGATTGTTATTTAATTTGTTTAGTTATAACCAATTTATCTATTTAATCTTAAAATTGTAACTAGAAAAGTTTTTTTATAATAATTGCTTTTTTAATAACATTAAATAATATTTCTTAATCCTCGTGAAAAATAAAATCAACTTTTATAAATGGGATGGAGTGAGTATTAACGAAGTCAAATTCTTTATTTCATACTTTTATTATAATCTTATTGGTATTTTATCCATCCATTATTTCATTTGAACTTGTGGGCTGTTGGTAGTTTAAGCCTCCGTTTGGCCCTCATGTTTTGAAATGAAAATCGATGGAATAGTGATTTTTTGAAAAATGAGCGATTGAAAAAAAATTAAAAATTTTTGATTTACGTATAATATTATTTTATGGAAGATTATGTAATTAAAAATTTGAGAGAGAAAAATAAAATATAATTTAATGGGTGCCAAACGGGGACTAATTATAGAAGATTTTATGTTTTAAATTCTAAAATTTGTAATTACAAATGTTGTGCAACAAGAAAATGAAACACAACTCAGCACAAACAAGTGAAAATGCTTGTCTTATTTTATCTTAAAACTTATAAAAGGTATACCTAGAAAAAAGATAATATTTGGACGAGTTTGACGTACATCCTTTTGAAACTCATGCTAATGGTCGTAAAAGTGCACGCGACTCGTCATCTTCTCATATGATATCCAGAGTTATCTTCTTCTCTGTAAAAATATTCATTTCTTTTCCAAGTAAAAAAATTATCATCTAGAAATACATTAAAATACACACTTTTTCAGACTTTCTGCCTTCAGTTGTGGAGACTCTGGTACGTTCAAGGATCTTTGTTAGTTTTTTGAAATTTCCCTATTTTTATTGTTTTAGAATAAAAGTATCTAATTATGGGTACTCATCAATCTGTGGTCAATTGTAAAACAATAGGCCGAGATAGACAAGCAGAAGTTGATTTTGTTTGAAAATTATCATTTTTTTTTGTCAAATAAAAACTCTGTTTAGTTCTACAAGAATTTCAGTATTTGTGTTGCAACTTGGAAAATCTATATTCTGAAAGCAGTTGTGCAGAGTGTACAGCACCCATAAACCGAGGTCCACAAATATAATATTCATGTGAACTCTTCTCATTGTGAGAGGGCTGTACACCATACCATGGTATATAAGAAACTTTATTATACTGAAAGAGAAGCTCGTGTTTTTGTGTTAGCTTTAAAAACAAGAATCATTGTGTTTTATTTATTTTTTTTCCAAAAGGGTTTTGTTATCTGTGACATTTCAAGGTACAATTAGCAAAATTCTTTGGACAGAGTTTATCAGATGTTGATTGTTTCTTCTACTAATTATCCCTATATTTAGCCACCAACCTTTGTTCTTGCTCAATCATTGTTCTTTTTGCTAAATCTTCTTCATTTTTAGCCTGTTTAGCCTTTTTCTGGGAATGGGATTGACAAACCATGAGGCTAAACGCTAGATGTTCCATCCCGTGAATTTCCACACGTTGTCCTCGAACCTTTACTCCATCAGTCCAATCACCCCTCTATACCTCATCTTCTTCTATGAATAAATGCGGAAGGGTTCGAATTTTCAACCCTCTCATGGCAACGGGGTAGGTTCAGGGCAGGGCACACCCAAACCCCGCCCCAGCAGGATGGGGCAAGGGCTTGCCCCATTTGCCACCCTCCTTTTTTTCCTCTACACAGGACAGGACAAATTGTCATCCTCAGGGCCTCTCATGTAAAAAATTCTTTAAGCAAATTTTAGTGTCTTATTCTGCGTCCCATAATGTTTCCTTTGCAGAGACCTCGTTAATGGGAGTACCCTATGGATTTTTAATTGAAGAAAAACGTGGGTCAAAGTAGGCTTGCTGGAACGAGAAATTTGCAGATTAAAATGGACACAAATATTTACGTTGGTTTATCGAATTTAGGCTACGTCCATGAGCAAGTATAGAAGGAAATGAAATAACCTTCTCTCTCAATACAAGAAAATAATAACAATTAATCCCTCTCGTAATAGAAAAAACTAAGTAGAAAACATTAAGAAGAAAATAAAAAAATTCTCCCCATAATTTATGTATCTCTCCGCTTCACTATTTTTCTCTCTACTCTTTCAATCCTCTCTATGAATTTGCTGTGCATTTCTCTTAAGGTGCACCTCCTATTTATAATGAAAATTTCACCACCTTAATTAATTGTAGAACCAGAATTTCAACAAAAACATACAAAAGTTGGCTGTGCATTACCTGTACATATTTCGGCTGTACTAGGCATGCATTTTTCTCTTTAGCATAAAATGCCCAAGATAACAATTAATGCATAATCCTTTAGTCATCAAAAAATGGCTTTAATAGCCAACAATCCACAAATTGACTCATCAAGAGAAATAATTTTGGTTAAGGAAGATGGATATGTTAAGAAAAATTGATGGAAACATGAAAATTGGCAATTCACCAAAGAGTAGTGAGCAAGATTGAAGAAGTGCAGAAGAGGCGAATTTGTGGGACTCCATGGGGTGAAGCAATAAAGATGCAATCAAGTTTGAAGGATGAGGCGCCCCCCAGGGCATAGTCCAGTGGTGCAAAGGACAGGAGTGAGGTTATCTCACGCCTTGTTGGCGGCCGCAGTGTGTGGGTTCGATTCCTGAGACATGAAATTGAACTCCTTGTAGGCGTAGTGTACAGGTAGCTCTTGTTCCCTGACCTATTGGGGCACATCCCGCGATTTACCTCCCTCACAAAGCTCTAAGGACGGGACGGTGAGGACCCTCAAGGTTAGGGTTCAACCTAAGTTAGAAGGATGAGGTTCTTCATCGAGACGTGGAGCAACATTTTGTTTCCCCAGTATTTGTGGAGCACGAACCTGATGAATACGAGGAATATCTTAGGACTGATCTCCTATACCAGATGTTGTCGTCTTATGCGCCGAATAGTCAACTTCTACTTTGCAACTATGCACAATTCTTGCACCTCGTTGCACAAGATTATGCCAGGTAAATTTTGGAGTAAGCACTCTAGTGGTCTAATATAGCGAGATAAATATGTTATTTTATCACAAATACTGTCAATTTTGTAGTAGCATGCGCTTTTTAGTGTAGTTTGCCTCAGTTTGATTTCAACAGGGCCGAGAAGTGCTACAAGCGGGCAGTTCAAGTGTTGCCACCAGATGCGCAGTCTCTGAGCCAGTAAGCCAACTTTTTATGGACAGCAAATAGGGACTTTAAGAAAGATTTCTACAAGCCTTGGCTGCCTAGCCAGAGAATTCTTATCATTCTTCTAGATATGCCAGTTTCTTGTGGAGCACTGGCAGCGAAGAAACCTGTTTTCCGCTCGATAATTCCTACAGCAGCACAAGAAGTACAAACTCATAGAGAAATGGTGCAGCATAGCCTAGTTATATGCCATTAATTCGAATCAACCCTTGCAGAAACTGTCCCATGTTTTCTCCAGTAAGAATCTGTATTATTTCAGCTGCAGTGTTATTTATTGTCCTCTGAAATCAACCACTTGTACCATCTAGCCGACCTTTTAGGTTGGATATATTAAACAGGGCGTGATTCTTGGTGGGGAGGGGAGGTACCTGGTTTTCTGGTATGAACTTGGACATAAGCCTTGGCCTGATTTTCAGTCTCTGTGCAACTGTCTGTTGGACAACGTATGGGCATGTGGATCATTATCACGGCAAGTATGGAATTGCAACGAAGACACGCCCTTTCTCCTACCCTCTTGATTTTTAACACGCCCGCTTAAATCATGTTTCTCAGCTTAGTTTGATGCAAGAAGAAATTTTGATGGTCATTAGAATTGATAGAGATTCAAACAGAAGGCAATACCCAATAAAAACATATCAAACGTTTGATATGCTGAATTAGAGGACTCGATTAAGGAATAAGGACACATATCCAGTCTTGTCTACTCTTAACTTATACAAACATGCCATTAGCGATGAAATATGGGCTTGTAATGAGTAGTCAAGACTAGGCACCCATTGTCACTGGGATCATTCTTCATGAATCCTCAATTTCCCAGCCAAATGTAATTTTTTATTTGAAGTTCGGAGAGTTCCTTGATGGCTTGCAGTTCAAACCCAGTTCTAGCCTAGTTATATCTACACAGCCTGCAAATTCTCCACAATACCATAACATTGGCTAAAGTTCAGTACTTGAAATTGATAGGAACTGAAGAACCTGTTCATAAAAAGTTAGAATAGAACTAACAGTGATCCTAGTCATTTTGAACTATCCAAGTAAAGGATCAAGAATGCAATCCCAGGATAAATTTTCTATTGTGCTCCAAAAACTACGGCCTCAAATACATGTAACTTGTGAGGAAATGCATAGGATGCAAAAGATTGATTCAAAACTCTCGTACAAAATTATAAAAGTTCATAAATTGTCATCACAAAATACTCGACATGTTTGTTGCAATCAATAATAACTTGTGAAGGGCTGAACATATGTATAAGCCTTTTGATAAAGAGAGAACATAACATTGCAACAAGCCAAGTGAATCATATTACAGGTACAAGACTAAAAGCCTAAGTGAACGTGGTAATTCCATTTCTATCACCAGACTAACAAATGCTGGGTAATTTGATATTTACACAACCTGGGAACTCATAAGAATACTAATAAGTGAGCTAAACTGATTTGAGTGGAAAATTGGTGAAAGCAAAACTCGCATTTCTCACCAAAACCAGCTGCTTCGGCTATCTATGGCCTTAACTGAAGTTGATACCAAGGGCATTCGTCCATACTTAGATGCAAACCAATTCACACAGTGGGTCCTCCTTTCACTGTGACCTCCCAAGCTACTAATTCCAGTCGAACCAATCTCAAATATCTTACCTACATTATCACACCAGCAGGATATACTTAAATTGTGTATTTGTATGACATACAGATGTGCAATTATTTTTGCCAGAAATATATATTTTGTTTAAATATCAATAAATTTCATTACTCTAGTACAGAGAGCCCGTGACAGAACAATCCATTGAAAAGGCTACGCAACAAGAGTTATAGTATGAACAAATTAACAAAAGATTAGATCCCCTTGTAACGCTCTCCCTCTATAGTACTTTTCGCAATAAAGGCTCCCAAGGTTTCAGTTAAACAGTGATTTCCTCTCATATTTGATTAAAGCAAATAACCACTAGCCTAGTAAAAGAACATAGTCTCGGGAAACTTAAATTTTCAAAATAGAAATGGTATTGATCAATAGCAGTTTTGTCATAACGTACAAGGAATTGAACTGACTAAATTTGTGTATCTTGCATAAACATCACAATCAATAATAACTTGCATAAAAAATTTATTTTGCTTTATTCATACATCATAGAAGTCAAAGTCCACGTTATCTTCTTTATCATACGTAAATTTAGAAAAAAATGCAACTGCGTCATTAATTCGATTGGCATAACAATTGGCAAAGTCGCTCCAACATTTCTCTTAAGTACCAAAAGAAAAGCAAGATTGGAAAATTACTAATGTCTTTGCTCGTTTGAAGTTTTACGGCAACAACAAATCAATGATTATTCTCAATAAATTTGGAGTCAATTACATGAACCATTTTTCTCCGTTTGATAGATCTACTAGAAGATCTAAACCTATTATATTCTCACCAACTACAATAAGCCCCTTGTTTGATTAATATTTGAACCAAAGAGCTCATTTTTCTTTTGTTTTGAAATAAGCCAAACCATAAGTTTCAATATAATTGAAATGGGATACACGGGGGTCATTTCTGGGTATATAACAACAAATCGAATTATAGGACGACTCTACAAATTGAGCTATAACAAAAATTGTGGAAGAGAATTGACTATTTTACTGAACCTTGATGAGTTTTTAACTTTTCCCTCATTGTATAATTGTGCAAAAGAGCATACGTGGCGTTTCAAATATATGATGTAGATTATAAAAATTCTTCAATCTCAATAATTTTTAAGCATGAAATAAAAATATTTTGTGTTCCTTTATGAGAGATTATTTGAAGTCAAAATTAATTCTTTTAAGAATGTGTGGTTAGAAGTATGGAAAAATTAGGAATCCACATGCAAAATTATTTTCTTAGGAAAAAGTGGAGTTAAAGATGAGTTTGAGGAAAAATGATATCCAAATAAGTTGTGCCAACAAACGATTTATAAACAAATGTTGAGAACATGAGTTCATCATCAGGGCGGATATAACGTAGGACAAGCCTGGGCTCCAGTCCATTTTCAAAAAACATAAGAATTTTTATTTTTTTCCATAGATATAGCCCAATTGCCCAAGTCTGCCCTCACCAGTTTGTCTGCACAATTTAATTTCAATGTCCAAATTTGTTCACTTTTCCAAGCTTTCCAATGATTTAAAAAAATAAATAAATAATTGTTCAATAAAAGTGAGAAGAATTATGGCATAATATTTCATCAAAAGATATTACATATTTTAGTTTGACTAGATTCCAATCAACTTATTGCTAATATGATATAATTTTTTTTCAATGTCTAAAATATGCATCAATATTATATTTTTTTGTAACCTTTTTTTGTTGATTCCATGATTCGTCCATAGTGTTCTCCAATTTCAGCACTCTACCATCAACTAGTATAGATGACCCACCAACAACGAAAGCAGAGGCATTGCCTCTACTAAAATGTACCTTTTATATATTTTTTATTTATTTATACAAGTAATGTCATTCATAGTCGCTCATTACGGTAGTCGTCCTACATAACATACTACATGACGGTTAACTTTTTCTTGCCTCAAATATTAAATCACCAACCATCATACGTATGCCAAATAGAACGACTGCGATCGTGAATGACTACAAATAGCATTATTCTATTTATATAGTTGTGTTCAATAATTAATAATTTAATGTATATATACCTTTTTGTAATTTTTTGTTGACTGTAATATATTTTGTTATTACTCTATTTTCAAACTTGTTTGCTCCAATGTCGCACACAATTTGAAGGCACTACGAGCTACACAGAGGTACTTCGCTTGGATTTCCTTTTAATTTCATGGTGCTATTACCTATTACGCTTCGCTCGAGCATTGATACTTTAGTAGGTAATGTCATATTTTGATTTTTCCAAATTGTATATGAATTTTATTAATATAATAAAATTTTTAAAGTTTTAGCTCAGTCCAGAAGAAAATCGTGGCTCTGCCCTGTTCATCATGGATTTCCTTCCAAATCAAGTAATGTACAAATAAAGAGATCTATTGTAGCCGCAGCCATCACTAAGTCCAGAGCTTTCATAAAAAAGATTCATGTTAATCATGTTATTTGACACTTTCTTCCCCAATTCTTTGTAATAAAATGTTTTCTAGTTCTAGAAAATGCAGCGTGTTCCGTTTTCCAAAACTTGGATTGTTTACAAGTTACAACTAGCCCATGTAAGGATACATTAACACTTTCACCCTATCTTTAAGACAAGCAAACAGTGTCCAGAACCAGACTCAGAACTGGAAATAACCAGATAAGTGATAACAGAAAAACAATAAGCGTTCACCTAAGTGGAAATTTGAATACAATAATGAAAAAAATCATAGAATCAAAAGTGGAAAGAAGGTCAACAGAACAGATTATTACCTTTTATCCAAATGGGAGGAGCACCAGTTGCATTTGCTACAAGGAAAGACATTGCAATATCTTCACAGTTCCTAGTAGATATATCCATAGAAAAATTAAAATTTGGTCATGGTTAAAAAGAAACAAGAAAGAGGAGACTGAGAAAGAAATGACAAGAACCTGTTCTTGGTAACATATTCTCGAATGGAAGATGGCATCTCGTAAGTGTACATACTGAGATACTTCTTATGAAAGAAGGCAGCTTTAGAGAGGATCATACTGTATGTTCCTGTCCACCAAACAGACCACCATCCGCTATAGAGATAGGTATCCTGATTGCCTTTCTGCACCAACAACGTCCAATTGAATGCAAAATCGGACTTTTTAGTTTACAAAATGTAGCCAATGCCTTGTTCATGAGAAAGAGCCAATTGAAAAAAGAATAAATAAATTGGAAACAACATTTCATTGTATGAGTGTGCTGTGCAAAAGGAGCACTGCACACTACCATGCACATTCATCACAAGTTGGGGGCGGGTTTATCCAATTACAACTTCAAGTCGCCCTCACTTTAGAGCAAGTCACTTTACACTACAGCCAAGGAAAGTTACTTCAGTCAACAGCTATACCAACTAGGTAATTATTTCTTTGTTGACAAAACTTTCCTCTGATTTCAAGATAGTTTCTTGAAATCAGTTTGAACACTTCAACATCGGCAGATCTCTGTCCATATATTGGATTCAATCCTTGCCTATCAACTTGTGCAAGAATACACATCAAGACAAATTCAAAAGGTGACTTAAACAAATAATATAAAATATGATTCTAGAGGAAAAGAACATTTTATTCTAATTCAAGAGCTGATAGTGGAACAGGATAAGACAGGCTAAGCAACATATGACAAATGGAGCCATAGAAGGTGTATATATTGATTAACTAAACATAGACTTTTGTCGTTAATATTATCATATGATGAAGGTACATCAAAGAAAAAGTCCAGGCAATACTTTGTAGTTGCAGTACATGAACATAGGTAAAAAAAAGGTTTGTCATATTCCTACGAATTCATCAGCATATGGATTACACTGACAAAGGAATGAGATTCAGAGTAGGGACTTTAAACTGTGTATGCAAGTATGAAATAAGTACAAAATGATGCCTATTTTGTAGGATTGTCTGACCTACACGATAGTTAAATGATGTAGAACTAAGGAAATCGAGTGGACAGAACAAAAGCACATACCAATTTATCAACCCAATGAATACGTGGTACATATCCAACCATTGTATCCGGTGCACTTTGCCAGACAGTGAAAGCAAATTCCACTGATGTGCAAGGAAATATGATGTCATCATCAATTGAAAAAACTGCATCCGTCTTCAAGTCCGTAATTTCTTTAAATCTGTTGTTCAAACTGTCTTCTTTGTTGATATCAAATTTTAACTCAATTACTCGACCATTCAGGTGTATAATGTGGTTTAGAAATTTCTTAAGAGACTCTGAAGGAGGATCAGGCTCACTCCATACAATGTGTATAGAAGCAAGCCCAGGACATGATGCATAATGCGAAATGGACTTTTTCAGCAGATCATTTCTCTTCCATGTGTTAATCAATAAGGCATATCCTTTCCTGCAAAATCATGGATAACCAACATACGTATGTAACTTTTAGACTTTCTATATATTTTTTTAGAATGTAGTTTCTCTTCTCTGGGTAAATCATTTGAAGATTTAAAAATACAAGCTCAACCTAATGCATGAAGTTAAAATTTCAACTAACTATAGAAAACAATATCTTAAACTCAACAACATGGTGGAGCTTTTTCCTCTTTACTTTAGAAAGAAAAACACAAATAAAGTAGCAACAAACTGTCAAATATCAAGGTAGATGAATTATGAACTCTTTAAGGCAACCTGACAAAATTAGTGCCATATTTTTCTCTAAGTTTAAACAACTGGCATCAAAGGGAATTAATTTTCTTTTACTTTTTAGCAAAGATTCTGCCTCATATTGCAAAAATAGGAATCCATCCGAGAAAGCCCACTTAGGTCCACAAAATTCTCGTGCATACTGGAGCTTCAGATAAGAGAAAAGCAAAGACAATAAGAAGCATATTCTCTAATAAAAACTAGACAGTAGTAGAGAAACTTCTCGAGTGATTTGCAATCTGCCCAAAAAGAGAGAGAAACACAAGAGGGCGTGGAAGTGGCCATGAAGCCTAACAATATCCAACTTTCTGCTTATTTCACAGAACATAATGACTAATAATTGCTTCTGTGCTAATTCAAAAACTGTCAAGATTAGGGCCTAACTTAAATTGCCAAAAGGAAATTGAATACACCATTTTTAGCAGCTAAACGTGGGAAACTAAAAAGCGATTGAACAGAAGGAAAGCGATGCTGCTATGCATACTTGCTCCTGATTCTCATGTTCCCATTTTCATTTCTCTTAACTTTTCATTTTATTTGGGTAACAAAAACGACTTTAATGCGAAATTAATACTATCACAAGTTGGGGGCGGGTTTATCCAATTACAACTTCAAGTCGCCCTCACTTTAGAGCAAGTCACTTTACACTACAGCCAAGGAAAGTTACTTCAGTCAACAGCTATACCAACTAGGTAATTATTTCTTTGTTGACAAAACTTTCCTCTGATTTCAAGATAGTTTCTTGAAATCAGTTTGAACACTTCAACATCGGCAGATCTCTGTCCATATATTGGATTCAATCCTTGCCTATCAACTTGTGCAAGAATACACATCAAGACAAATTCAAAAGGTGACTTAAACAAATAATATAAAATATGATTCTAGAGGAAAAGAACATTTTATTCTAATTCAAGAGCTGATAGTGGAACAGGATAAGACAGGCTAAGCAACATATGACAAATGGAGCCATAGAAGGTGTATATATTGATTAACTAAACATAGACTTTTGTCGTTAATATTATCATATGATGAAGGTACATCAAAGAAAAAGTCCAGGCAATACTTTGTAGTTGCAGTACATGAACATAGGTAAAAAAAAGGTTTGTCATATTCCTACGAATTCATCAGCATATGGACTTCCAAATAAGTTTTAGTGCTTGTTTGGTACAAATTTTAAATTCATTAAAATTAATTTTTTGATCTTTATTTCATTATTTCAGCCGTCATTTTTAAATTCTTCTCTCGTAAGTAGGACTCATTATATCTTTAACGATAAAAAAATCACTGACAAAGGAATGAGATTCAGAGTAGGGACTTTAAACTGTGTATGCAAGTATGAAATAAGTACAAAATGATGCCTATTTTGTAGGATTGTCTGACCTACACGATAGTTAAATGATGTAGAACTAAGGAAATCGAGTGGACAGAACAAAAGCACATACCAATTTATCAACCCAATGAATACGTGGTACATATCCAACCATTGTATCCGGTGCACTTTGCCAGACAGTGAAAGCAAATTCCACTGATGTGCAAGGAAATATGATGTCATCATCAATTGAAAAAACTGCATCCGTCTTCAAGTCCGTAATTTCTTTAAATCTGTTGTTCAAACTGTCTTCTTTGTTGATATCAAATTTTAACTCAATTACTCGACCATTCAGGTGTATAATGTGGTTTAGAAATTTCTTAAGAGACTCTGAAGGAGGATCAGGCTCACTCCATACAATGTGTATAGAAGCAAGCCCAGGACATGATGCATAATGCGAAATGGACTTTTTCAGCAGATCATTTCTCTTCCATGTGTTAATCAATAAGGCATATCCTTTCCTGCAAAATCATGGATAACCAACATACGTATGTAACTTTTAGACTTTCTATATATTTTTTTAGAATGTAGTTTCTCTTCTCTGGGTAAATCATTTGAAGATTTAAAAATACAAGCTCAACCTAATGCATGAAGTTAAAATTTCAACTAACTATAGAAAACAATATCTTAAACTCAACAACATGGTGGAGCTTTTTCCTCTTTACTTTAGAAAGAAAAACACAAATAAAGTAGCAACAAACTGTCAAATATCAAGGTAGATGAATTATGAACTCTTTAAGGCAACCTGACAAAATTAGTGCCATATTTTTCTCTAAGTTTAAACAAATGGCATCAAAGGGAATTAATTTTCTTTTACTTTTTAGCAAAGATTCTGCCTCATATTGCAAAAATAGGAATCCATCCGAGAAAGCCCACTTAGGTCCACAAAATTCTCGTGCATACTGGAGCTTCAGATAAGAGAAAAGCAAAGACAATAAGAAGCATATTCTCTAATAAAAACTAGACAGTAGTAGAGAAACTTCTACGAGTGATTTGCAATCTGCCCAAAAAGAGAGAGAAACACAAGAGGGCGTGGAAGTGGCCATGAAGCCTAACAATATCCAACTTTCTGCTTATTTCACAGAACATAATGACTAATAATTGCTTCTGTGCTAATTCAAAAACTGTCAAGATTAGGGCCTAACTTAAATTGCCAAAAGGAAATTGAATACACCATTTTTAGCAGCTAAACGTGGGAAACTAAAAAGCGATTGAACAGAAGGAAAGCGATGCTGCTATGCATACTTGCTCCTGATTCTCATGTTCCCATTTTCACTTCTCTTAACTTTTCCTTTTATTTGGGTAACAAAAACGACTTTAATGCGAAATTAATACTCAGTAGTGCTGTTACTAAAAAGGGCAATTACGATTTATAGATGGAAGCAATAATTGCATAGTAATTATGACCGGACAAATGGTGAAATCCTAGATCACTTAAGATCTCGATCCAAAAAAGTAATCTCACGTTACTACAAACCAATTAACGAACTTAACTAAACATAAATATATTAATACACGCAATTTGATAGTATAGAACTGTAATACTTACCCCGGTAGAGAAGATCGATGGAAAGAAGCCGCGCCTTGCTTCCATCCCATGAACGACGCCGTACGTCCGGCGAGAACAAATAACGTTAAGCCGATGCAACAGGCGAGCAACAGCTTAATCTTTACAGATCCGACGGCTGAGATCGCGCCCTGCCTTATCGTCCGATGGCTGAAAAGGCTCGTCCTCGTCGTCATAGCTCTTTACGCTAATCTCGTAACTTAATACTTACACAATTGGTAGGAGCGCTGCTGAACTACTACCGCACCGCTCCGAGTTGACTCAGTACGGGACTTGTTATCAGAAGAAGAATATTCCATAAACAACGGCGTGCGAGTTGGAGTACCGTGAGAGAAAACCAGTGATATCTCGGCCTCCGGTTTCTACATTAGCATTAAACGATGAAGATAAGTTAATGTGGGGGAATGTCACCGGAATTTCAGATTTTCAGATGAGCAGTTACCTTTTTATAGAAACAAATTTTCCGTGCCTATATGTAAAAATGAATATTTGTCTCTTTATTTTAATCTTATATGTAATAATGTAGATACTTTTGTGTTAAATAACAGGGACACTTCCAAATAAGTTTTAGTGCTTGTTTGGTACAAATTTTAAATTCATTAAAATTAATTTTTTGATCTTTATTTCATTATTTCAGCCGTCATTTTTAAATTCTTCTCTCGTAAGTAGGACTCATTATATCTTTAACGATAAAAAAATCAATTATCAAAATCCTACCAAACAAGTATTTAAGCTTAATTATAAGCTCGTTAGAAACTTATTGGGTATAGTTGCATTTGATGCATGTTGAGATATTAGTGATGGAGGTTGGGATTGGAATGATTGAAGTTTGAAAAATGAAATATATTATTCAATTTATTACGTGTTACTCATTTGATTGGATAAGATAATATGAAATTCTAGACGTACCTCAAGATCGATAAATAAAGAGTTCACGTTTCGACCTCGAGTCCATACATCGAGAAACCTTTTGACCTCGAGTCCATACGTCGAGATTATGAGGGAAGAATTGATGAATCAAATTCTTGCTATAATTGGCTGGTGGATCTCAAAGATGAAACACAAATATTCGAACATATTATGTTTTTACCTTTTATTGTATTTCATTTTTTTTTTATTTTTTTTTTTTGAGTTAGTCTAAGTGCTAGAAGCGAGTTGTTATGTAAATTTCTAGACACTATTTTAAGGGATTGTGGGTTAGATGGAGCCAATACATACTCCTTAGTTTTAGGATTATTGGTGTAACTATTTTCCATTTATGGCATATTTGATTGCAAGTATGGAAAAAAAAATATAAAAAATTAGGCAATTGAATTACCTAGAACATATTTGCATGAAAATTATCAATTAAAATATTTTTGATTAATTTAATTTTTAACCTACAAAATGTTGCGCTTGTCCATTTTTTATTAATAGGTAGATAAGAAGGAAATGGGGTGGGCGAGAGATAAAGAGAGAGAATTATTTGAAAAATAAAAACATACTCCCCCTAAAAAAAATCTTTTTTCAAGGAAAATATTGTCACATGATCAAAAGTAGGAAAATATTTTTTATAAAAAAAATCAATCAAATCGCCCAAAAGTGGAAATTTTAGTGAAAAATGACATTTTTCATGAAAAATATGAATAATTAAACGCAACTTCAAGTGTAAGCAAAGAAAATTGTAAATGGCAATGAATTATTCTACAAACATATTATTTGTCTTGGTAGGTTTTTAGTTTCTTGAAATACCAAAATATTGGAAAGTCAGGAGTTGGTCGATTTAATTTACAACGTATCCAATCAGCCTCTAACGGTTGGATTGCGATATGTTATATTTTGGGTTGTTTATTCATCAGAAATATTTAATATTAAAGTAAATCATTAAACTCTCAATATTTTGAGCCTGTCAAAATATGGGGTCCACCTAAGTCTCTTTATGCGGGCGGACTCAATGCGTTCGGTCAAATATATTATAAACCTGTATTATAATATGTTGTTCAAGGCTGGTGGATCAGAAGTTATGAATTCGATTCATGAAAGGCTCGGTAGATATTCTCTTGGAAGGCAGGAGCTCTACTGAAAGACAAGGTGCAAAAATGGGAAAAGACTTGTTTAACACTTTGGCAAATCAGTTGGGACTCTTGAACACTGGTCAATTTGGAGCACAATCCGCGGTTTAACCTGTCTACAACTTGAGGGGTCAAGGTGTAGACTCCAAGATTTAGTCACTCTAAGGCGGATACCTAGATATCAAAAAAAAAAACATATATATATTATAATTTGTTGTATAATTCATACTAATTTTAAAGAAATGGATTTCAATGTGTAGGACACAATGCCCATTACCTTTATTTATTTCAACGTTTAACTAAAATTCAGATTTTTTGTAAATTTTGATAAAAATATATAACTAAAAAGTTGATAATAGTTATGGACTTCTTAAATATGTGATTAAAAATAAATTTTAAAAAATTGAGACACTTTAATCCAACATTAAGTGAAATTCACAACTTAAATTTTAATTTAAGCATTCCTATCTACTAAAGAACTAAGATCATTATTATATTCTCTGTGTAATTTATAAACTAAGCCCTCATTTGTTTTTTATTATTTGCTCATTAAAATAAAAAAATATGATCGTTATCCATCACATCAAACCACCATTTTTGACTTTTTATCTCTTGTATGAGATCAATAATGACTATATTTTTCATTCTCATTTTTACATTAATATGACCAAACGGGACCTAAACTAACAATTGACATAACAGGCAAAAAAATGTAAAACTTCTATAAATGCATAGTTTGAACAGAAAAATCGTTTTACATACGGTTGAATGAGAAATTGCCGCATTATTATGAGTTAGGTACGACACACGTGTTGGACAGACAAGTGCAGATAAGTTGATAATGAAACCATTCAAAAAAAAAAAAAAAAATTAGTAACATATGATGTAATTTTGACATTTTGACAATTGAATAATGAGTGCAGGTGACTTTTCTATCTCCAATAATGCCCCCAAAATTGATTAATCTTGGCCCCACAGCCAAACAGCACCTCAATGTTGATTATTCTTATTAGTCAAATGTTTCGATTTGTATATATGCTGATGATCCTTATTAATCAAATGTTTCGATTTGTCATCAATATTAAAGTACATGTATAAGTGACACGACTAGTTTAATTAAATTGCTGATATGATAAAAGAAAAATGAAGTCAATTCATTATTATTTTAAGATGGAAAATCCATTTTATATTATATCATGTTGAAGTTTGACTGCAAATGTGGTGGGCGACGGTGGGTGGGTGAGCTTAGCTGCGAAGGACTAAAATTTTTAAAATTCATTTTTTGAGGAAATTTCACGTAATGTCCATTTTCAGCGAGTCATTTGCCAAAATGTCCACAATTTTGTCAATGTCCATTTTCGAATTATGTAAACGAAAATACCCCTATTAGAAATATTATTTTCACACAAGAATTCAAAATTTTCCATATCACTATTCATGTCAATCAACGTAGAAATGTCAATCAACATTAAATGCCTGGGTTGGATAGGTGTGGGTAGGGTTATGGGTTAAGTAGGTGCAGGTCGAGTTGGATCGAGTTATGGGTAAAAAATGGAAAACCTGATATAATTCGACCCGAATACAAAAAAAGAAAAAAAAAAAAGAAATGAAGGCGGGGGAATGAAAAAATAAAAGAAGCCCTAAACTAAGTCCTCTTAACTCTCAGTCTCTCAATCTTCACTCTGACCCAACTCCCCGACAACGAGCATGTCCATTTCTCTCTTATTTTCCTAGTTGCCGTTTGCCCACCACACTTCAGAGTCCAGTGCTATAGAGTAAATTTATTTCGTTATTTTTTTTATTTCGTTATTTTTTTCACTTCCCCAAGTCTCCCCTCTTCCTAAATCCTAAGATTTGGCTAGTTTAACATAAACTGATGTCAAGGTCACTGAGTGTCTCTATTCTATTGGGCGAGCAAATACGAACTGTTGATACAATTTGAGATAAAAAGTGATACATGTGAGATATTGTCAAAAAGGTTAAAGAGGTAAAGTGTTTAAAGAAATCAGGAAAATGATTGTACTTTCTGTTGTCCCTGTTATTGTATTTTTGCTTTTGAGATATAATCTATATGTGAACTAAATTTGATGTTGCTGGATGATAAATAACACTAGTACGAAGTGAAGAATACTCAATTTGAGGCATATTTCGCATCTGAGTTAGGCAATAAACATGATGAAATGACACAGATTGTGTTGCTATTATACACTCTTAAGACTGTTTGAATGCTCATCAGCAACTAAATGGCTTCATTTTCACATCAAATTTGTTCTGCATCTTGTTAAGGGTTGCATTTGTATATTGATGGTTTCTTATGGAGGAAGACTGTGATAGATTGATAACAGATAGAAAACTTTGTCAAATCTTACGACATGTATACTTGATTTTGCGTATGGTCTGTTGTAGTTGGCTCTAAATTTATTTAATACAAGGCTATGTTGTTGTTATTTATTTTGTTAAAGAATATTGTATTTTCGACTTACTTGCATATCTAAATTAGGCAATTAACTTAATGAAATTGTAGAAGATTGTGTATATACTTTTGAACTGTTTGAATGGTGATCAACTATAAAATGGTTACATTGTAGCTTCAGATCAGAAGTCAGGTTTGTTTTAATTTCAACAATTAAACAACTTAGTTTAGATATAATATTTTATCAAACCATTGTATTGTAAAAATTATTTTTCTTGCACTGCATTTTAACAAGAATGTTATATTTGATTTCATTTGTACGTTCTCATAGTATTTGTTAAAATATTGTTTTCATTTGTAGATGAGTATGACACACCGATATAATATTCCGGAGGAAGAACATGTTCCGGCCCATGTGTCGCAAGTGAGCAATACAAAATATATATCAGTTGTCCTCAACAAATTGGATCCACAGCAAAAGCGTTAGTTGGAGGATAGTTGTATAGGACATGTTGCAAAGTTACCGGAGTTGAAACTATCTGCTCAATTAATTCATGAAATGGTAAACAGATCGGTGGTATGCCGAAAGCGGTTTGAGGCTTGGTTCAAGGTGAACCAAAGGTTTGCACGATTTGGACGACCGGAGTTCGCACTAATTACTGGCTTGAAGTGCAGTCCAGTGCCTAAAGGTGCCGAAGTTGACAAAATCCTAGAGAAAACCCGTCTACAAGATAAAATATTTGCTAATATGGACCGGATAACGTGTAGCGACCTGGAGAAAGCTTTTTTGAAATGTGCCAACCGTAACGATCGTTACAAGCTTGGGTTGGCACTAATTATTGAAGGGGTATTTTATTCAAGAGATCGAAATGTAGGAATAAATTCGATAACTCTTTCTATCGTTGACGACTTGGATTTTTTCAATGCCTACCCATGGGGGACAGTATGTTTTCAACTTCTCATCAAATCACTACTACGTGGATGGAGAAGAAAGGCGGACATGGTAAAAGTGAATGATTGTGATAGGATGACTTACACATTGTACGGATTCCCTCTTGC